CCATCCATCCATCCATCCATCCATCCATCCATCCATCCATCCATCCACATATACGCGTTTCCAGGTATGCATACACCTCCCCAGATATGTATAACATATCCTTTGGCCGCCCCACTTCCAGGGAACAAACAAACAGTGGCCACTGGCACTTCCCCCTTTTGAAGTCCGTTTGTTGGTCTGTCGAGATGGGTCACAATCCCGACCAGTTGAACTCAAACGTGTCAAACATGTCCAAAAAGCGGGGGGGGGATGCAAAAAACATGCAGTTGAGCCTTGCAATTAGAACATCTTCTAGGGAGTTGAAACACAGTGGTTTCAGAGTAGATGGATGGCACAAACCCCAAGATGTCTTCTGGATGGGGGTCCATATACACCACCCTTTGGGGATCGTGCCATCTAATCATCTACTCTGAAACCATATAAACAAGTCAACAGCATCCTTAAATTGTAAAACAAAATACATGTTCAGCCCAACAGCAGAAAAGATCAGAAAAGCATGGGTGACAAAATGACACTCTCAACATCTCTCAACCGTGGGGCATCTCTCAACCGTGGGGCATATCTTCCGAAAGGGAACCACGCCGATAATCCGACGTCCAGTGACATTCTAGCCATCATATCCTAGCGAGCCAACTAAACTGGTGGAACATGTCAAAAATCTTGATCCACGGAAGTCAAGTGCATGGCATCATGTTTCAATGGAGCAAGTGGAACATGGTGGAACATGGCACTGATGCATGGCCATCTTACCCATGTGTTAGTAGTTCAAACGGTCCGACGTGGGTCATTGACTCCTTCAAACAGGTTTCACCTGGCTCACCCAAACCATCCCAACCCAGCCGTTAGCCTTTGAAGTTACCTGGGTTGGATGAGTTTGCTGGTAAATCGCTTCTTAGCCTTCCTTCTTCTAAACTTCGGAGCTCTGCTCCATCACCTTCCTCGTCTGCCAAGTCACCTAATGCCTTGTGGCCCAAGGTCATATGCATCCTGCAAAATCGGCTCCAGTCGTCACGATGACCAGTCCGGTGAGGGATCTGGATTCTCTCATATTGACGGAAAGCCAATGAAAGCCACCTTTTTTTAACGAAACTGAGCCAGTTCTGGCGCGTGTAGTCCTAGGGCTGACCCTCAACCCAGACCCCCACTTATTGATCGATTGAGATCAAGTGGTGAGTTTTTTGTTCATGCTACAGTGGCCTGCCACAGTCTTGCACTCGCTTGCGCGACTGTGCAATATTGTGCTTCCCACGAACAGTCGTGACACTCTTGGATCATCCCAGTTCCAGCGAAGAAAATCCTCTCAGTGGATCGATGAGAAAAACCCAAACGACACGGGATTGAGAGATGTGCCTATATATATATATATGCGTTATATAATATACAGTACCTACCATTACCCAGCAATTATGCCTTGATATGCCTTGTTTGTGTGTGTGTGTGTGTTTGTTTCCCCGCACCGGTGGGAGTTTCGCTTCGCCTGTTTGCCCAGGTACGGATCCTTCGAAAGTTGCTGTACGGTTCATCCATTTGGTGGTGATGGGCGTCTTTTTCTTCGTCCACCATGAAAAATGCGAACGCCAAGCAATCCCATAGCCGAGATGGGTCAAGTGTGGTTTGGGACTGACCCTCTCTGAGACCGGCCGCTGCGCGAAGGAGGACCGGACCCATCGATCCCGAAAAGACTCAGCCTGGTTGGTCTGTTCCAAAAATCCGCTGTCAGTCCCAAAACAAAACCCACCTAGCTTGGGGTCTAGACTACGGGAGAAAAAGTAAAAACTGTCAGAGTCAGGAGGGAGTGAGTTATGGGTCAGTGACCTCTCGAAGCTATACCTTCCTGAGTCCCTCGAACCAACCCGATCGGCCCCGGGAGCAGCCCACCGAGTGAGGCGTGGACCGTCCTCTTCTCCTCGGAGCATCCGCACTTCATGCCTCCAGGGTGAGCAACGAGAGGGACCTTTCATGGGACCATCGGTCCCTCTTTTTTTAGAAACAGGACGGCTACAACCAGCCAATACTGAACATAATGTTAACTTATTAGTGTTTATATATATATATATATGTTTTTGAAGTTAATATGACTCCAAAAACATTGTTTTTTAGGTCTAGGCCCAGGCCAAAAACCCTTTGGGTTCGCCCCATGTGGAGAAAATCTTCTCGTGAAGTGATACACCTTCACAAGACAATCGTCCAGGTGGGACGAACCCAGGTGTTCACGTTTTGCGCAGCTAGCTAGCACACCTCAAACGTTTCAGAGTAGCTGGCAAACATCCTAAGAGGTGGTCAAGACTCATCTGAATCATCAAATCTTTAGATGTCAAGGATGTTATAGTGCCATCTACTCTAAAACCTCCGACATAAAATGCATTCAATTCCTTCACTTAGTTGCATACATTGTTCACCGTGTGTGTGGCCGCCACAGAACTGGCGATACCCGGTGTGGCCAAGCAAAGGAGTCCTCAGTTGGTTGCAACAAAGCTGGAGCAGCTGAAGGGTTATTATCGCCTGCCAGGCCTCTTGAACCTCCTTCCAGACTTGCACTGGAGCCAAACTAAAAGAGCCTTGATTCCCCTTCTGAACCCTCTAGTTCTCCACACCACAAGAAGGTTCAACATCGTTCAAAACTGGCTGTTCATTCGTTTCGCCCTCCCCGTTCCGGTCCCACTCTCCGCCAAGGCGTCCAAGCAAAAGGCTGATCAACATCATGAGTCTCACCCTCCACCGGAGCCCACAGAAGATGATGAGCTGCATCACCAGCGCCACGAGGCCGAACACCGTGCCGACGCGGCCTTGGTTCGAAAACGACTGGCTCTGGATTCATTGGGCTCAAAAAGAAGGACGTGCAGTTCGAAGGTCTCCTTTGCAGTTCGGACACCAAAAGTTACAGTAATTCACTAAGGGTCCCCTCTTCATGTGTTGGAACCAGAACTGCATGTGTGCAACATGAAACCTCAAGCAACAGGTGTGAGCACAGATTGCTCACAGAGTGTGACGAATTGGCATGCGTGTCCTTGTGTGCTGTTGTTTATTCAGGCTGAATCTGACGGCGAAAACTCCTACCCTCCAAATGCCAAAATGATCAGCCAAAACCTACAGAAGGTTTTCCTCAAGTGTAGGGGAGCAAATCACTTCTGAACCCAAGACAATTGGACTTACCTATTTACCTACATTGCAATGGTTATCTGGGGGTCAATGAGGCGGCAACGATTCCGGTCCCATGGATGCTCTGGAAACATGTTTGTTGCTCCCACCTTGGAATCTCTGTGGAATCACTGCTTCCGGGAGGGTAATCCAGAAATGGAACGTGAATATCTAGTTTGGACTCCCAAAGCCAACCCATCCCCAAAAAGACAGATCTACAGTATACTTCCACAAGGTCCTCGAGGCAAATCCAAGCTGCAAATCAAGACCAGCATGTTCCTCGGTGGCGCAACCCGGCGGATGGAGAAAAGTGTCGATGTTTGTTCTATGTAAAAATCATCTGTTTCCTGAGTGTTTTGTTCTGCTTTTCTCGGTGCTGTTTTCCTGCATCTCTGGACCTTCTGCTTCTTCACCTCAGACCTTAGACCGCTAGACCTCAAAACACTGGTTTGGGGTCTTTTGCTGGGATCATTCCCGGCCTGCAGGCCTTTACTCGTTGTGCTCTGCTTCTTGATGGGGTTCTGTTGGTGGAATGACTTCATTTGTAGACAATATTAATTGGCATGTATCAAATAAATTGATTGGTACAGTAATGATCTGGCATAGCTCTTCAAATATTATTTCGGAATGCAGCCGCCTTGTCTTTTAGGGGTCGCTCGAGCCCCTCGCTTCTAAAAGGTGCGGCGAGAAAAGGCCCTAGCGAAGCGATGTGAAGCCACTCCAGTCATACTCCAGTCTTCTCCTCTGGGCATCTTCTTTGGCACCCACAAAGCTTGGGACCCAAGGACCCAAGTCTTCTCTCTTCTTGAGCATTCAATTCTTCACCCAAAAACATGTCAAGTCTTGGATCGTCAGCTGTTGCGTGCGGTTTGCGCGATTCTTCACCAACACTGGTTTAACAGGTTTAACCCTACCAACCCAGCAGTTCACTCATTTTCGCCACCCTCGAAACCTATCAAACTCTCCATTTGTCCGAGAAAAAAAAGCAAACGCTCGGAAAGCGGGACTTCCCAATCTCATCCCGGCTATCTGAGGCTATCCGAGGCTCCCATAAGCCACGGCATCGAAGTTTTCGCTGTGGCAGTCCACAAACTCAGTCTCGTTCCTCCCAAACACTTCGAAGCTCCTCGAGGGCTCCTCGTTGACCTGGCCTGTGCGGACGACAGTTCCGAAGCTCCGGGAGATTCCTGGATGTCTCGGGTTAGTGTGTCAGAATTGATATCATTCAATCAATTTAAAGTCGGTTTGAGATCTTGATAAAGTTCCAATTCAAATGGATTCTCCTCACAAAATGAGGCCTCTGCTGTACCCTGTGGCCTCGCCATGTGGCCTCTGCCATAGCTGTATCCTGCCATACCCAGGAACTCCCGCCTTGACTGAGGTGCAAAGCATTTGAAGCAACGACCTCGCTTTGAATGCGAGGAACTCAGACCTTTGATGAGATTTCGACTCCAGCCCAAGAGCTGACCGACCCGCATGACCCCAAAAACCAACACCGCATGGCACCCATCCAGGAACCTTTATTCAGATAATTCATTCAGGAGCGATGCTCTACAATCACGGTCATCTCTAGCTCCAAAGGGCCCTACTTTGGGGCTCACTATGACATGTAGCCGCCTATACACCTGAACCGGTTTTGGGGGCAGCTCGCACCCCGTGCACGTTTGCAGCTCCCCTGACCCTTGCCCAGCCAAGCTGCGAACGACGACTTCGAGTCCATTCGGTGGCGATGTGCCGAAGATTCCCATGGAAAGAGCGCCAGGATCAGCAAACAACACGAAAGGCTTGGCATGGCACCAGCCAAAAAGAGCCGATGCTGAAGCTGAAGACTTCAGCTTGAACAAGACATGCAACGGATTGCAAGGGCATGTTTAAAGTCATTTGGTGGAAGGGGCAAGTGGACCGCTTGCAGGTTTGTTGGTGATTATTGTTGTCCTTTAGTTACGGAGGTAGGTTTAGGACCGAGCCACAAGGAGCCGCAAAGGAGCCTTCGTGGCTCCAAGGATCCCGAAACAACCCGAAGATTCTCTCTCGAGTGTTTTTGGTGTCCCCAAACAGCGGGGTGGCTGAGTAAACAAAGTGTTTCTCATTCGTAACACGGCCGCTGCCTGGATCACGGCCGCTTGGTCATGGTTGGCTATCACTGCACACAGCAGCAGCCGCTAGGGGTTCATCACCTGCTGCGCGTCTGGTGATGATCACATAATGGTCACACGATCAAAACAGTGCCCGTAGACCGTAGACCTGGCCACTTTTGCAGAAGTGCTCGTGGTCCTACTCTCGATGAAACGGGGGGGACACAAACCCCGCCAGTGTCAAGCTCCTGAGAAATCGCGATATGCATGTGGGCGATCGATTGATGCCCAGGGTTTGTTGATTTCCGTGATCTCTACAAGAACTATGTTACTGCAGGCATAAATCAAGCCAAGAGAACATATATAGTATATAAATATGAATTATACGAATCATCTGAGTCATACTATGAAATCTCCTGACCATCCCTGTCGCATGCCATAGTTTCTGCATTATCTGCATGGAAGCCTAGGGGCCTAGAGTAAGATCCCATGTTCCACTGATTGAGTCGACCAACCATCCAACTGACACTCTCCACATTTCCTTGGCGAAAAACACAGACTGAGCTCTTCTGCCATGAGACCTAGCTCCCAAAGACGCTGCCTCATCGGAGCTTGGGTTCCGAGTGCACCAAGCGCAAGGCGCGGAAGGCGCTGGGGCCTCGTGTCACGTGATCATGGTCATGGGGTGACTCGCCAAGTGAAAAACAGGTACAGTGTTTTCAGAGTAGATGGCACAACCCCCATCCCGGAGACATCTTGGGAGTTTGTACCATCTACTCTGAAAGCACTGTATAGTTTGGGTAAATACCATTTCCTGAGCCTGTAATTGTGGATGATGATGGTTAGGCGGGCCTTTCTCAAAAATAGATATAAATAGTCATCCTCAAACTGGACCCTACCTTCAAAGGGGTGCTCAATGGAGATCCACAAGTACTATTATTGTAGAGTAGTCATTGGAGACCCCTTGGAAGGTGCTGGTATACACATGTATACACCTATCTGTGTAGTCGGTTCATATGCCAAACTGTAGGCATTCCCCACTCTCCTCGATGACTCAGTCAACGATCCAAACAAACCTTGTCGATGACAACGACAACGATCGTGGCTGAAGTGGTGCTCCCTGTCGAAAAGAATGCCTAGCTCAAATAACTAAAAACTTGTCATGTAGCCTCAAAACATAAAACATCATAAAACTATATCGTCATTTAGACTATCTGTTTGTCCCGCTGCATATTTTTTTGCAGAATGGCCCTATGTCTGGGACGCTGGTCTGACGAGTCTTTCTGCTACCAGCCTGCCGCTGGTGAGTTCACTCGCTCGCCCGAACTTGCACAGTCCAAGGAGCTGGGACCAGGCCCCTTGCTGGGCCTCGGAGGATGGGGTGGTGCAGGGAGGCAAGAAGAATGACGGTGAATCACATGGTGGGTGATTTGCATATAGACATGCATATTAGATTTATAGATCTAGAATCTGCATATATACACATACATGTATACATAATCATATATTAATAAATATATATATATACAAGACTCAGCCACAGCCATGTTGAACCTCTTGGGCGGAGTGAACATGCGAGGAGAACCTTTGAACATCCACTTCGGCGGGCTTCGACTTAGCTTCGATTCGCTTGGACCTAGTTTACGATACTGGGGCGCAATGACGCCAACAAACCCATACAATGGAGAAATAACTGTACAAACAACAAACATCATAAGAGAAATAACATGAAATATCATGAAATAACACTTCCACGTACTTCCACCTTCCAAACCACTTGGGTCCCTTGGGGATTCTTGGGGTCTGTTCCAACAAATTCCCCTTCCGGGTCCCCCTGACTTCAACGTGGGCTTCGGCAGGTCGCCCCAGCTCCGAAAGGCCTCGGACCGGGCGGCCATCCACCGGCCAGTGGAGAGGAGGCAAAGCGATTGAACCAAATGAAAGGATGAAGTCTGGATGAATAGGTCATGATGGGTTGCGGTGTTTTCGCTCAACAAGGGTTGCTGTAACGACTGATTTTCTTACATGAACCTACAAAGCTTTGGCCGGATATTATGCAGTTGATTTCCGAAAGCACCAGGAATTTGAGTACAGTATACCCTATCTGCAGTCGTTGAATGCCCTGTCATGCACTGTAAGCATGTCTCGTATTCATTGGGGCTGCAATTCGGACCCCGGAAAGGGTGGCTTACGCCCTCCATGCAATTGACACTCTTTCTGCTGTGCTAGCCAGGAGCCTCTCTGGTTCAAATGTCGAAACACTGCTCCCATGTCATACCCAGAACAAAGTGCTCAAAAAAAGAAAACACACACTGTACCTTCAAAAGAAAATATCAGCAAACATATCCAAAAGGATATAGGATAGCAAAACGCCAGCCTCCATGCAGCTTGCAGGTTTTGGACGCCCAATCCATTGGTCAAGGTCAAACCCCTTCCTTGCATCCACCCACTGCACTTGACTCGCGGGCCCGGCGCCCGGGCCGTTGTACCCAATTTCTTGGGCGGCAGCAGGGGCAGCTTTGGCCTACAGCGGAGTGAGGGTGAACGAATGACCCTGCTCAATCATAGCTTGTGGCCGTTGAGGATGATTTCCTCCCCCCCACAGGGTGCCTATACGATATATTACGATATTGTTTCCATGACTATAGTGACTATATATAGACTGTTCCTGACTATAGACTATATACTATAGACTATGGACACTACTTCATTCCATGACTATAGACTGTTCCTTTCAAGCTGCCCTCCTTTCTCTAACTGCGACCGGTCGAACCACCACCGGTTGAACACGGCTGCTAAACGACATGCAGCTGACAAGGACGGAAGTGATGGTTCCGAATGCTCGTGTCTCTTAGCATGAACAAAAGAACACACCACAGGGATCTTCATTCTTGGCCAAACCGCACAAACCAGGGTCAAACCAATTCTGGCCAAGCAATTCGGTTTGGAAGGGGTGTGAACTTGGCTCTCTCATGACTTGGGGCTAGTGCGGATGAGGAATGAAGCTTTAATTACGTGTGTCACAGGACCGGGGTCCGGTTTGCGGACCGCCGGAAAGCGGTCTGCGGGTTCTATCAGGCGAGCAACCAAGGCGTTTCTCCCACTGGGGCGCCCAGTTCGTCCCAGTGGCCCCAAGTAGTTCTCGGCGAACTGCTCCTGCCGCTCTTGTGCTCGCCTGCGAGGGCAGGACCCCAAGAGCGACGCGTTTTGCGGCACGTGACGTGTGCGATGGCGATTTTTTCGGGGGGGCGATGACACATGACCTTGGATCTCATGACCTTGCATCTCAAGGGTCGGGGTCAACTGTTTGGGAAAAAACACAAAAATCATGAGACGGTCTGTCGGACCAATGGAGAACACGTACCAGCGTTCCTATCCTGCATACTTCAGGCTTTGGCTGCTGCAATTTTGTGATGAAAGCCGCAGGCGATGCACGAAATCGATCATTCCGTGGCGTGAAGGAGATCCAAACGGTAGTAGTGGTCACATGGCTTGGTCAATGGGTCCCGCTTTCCTCGATATCCAGAGCTTCATAATATTACATAAGTCTTGGAAGGCCTAAGCTGTGATACCCAATAATAAGGCCGGGAGTGTCACGACATGTGTTTACATTTGACCAATTTGCTGACTTGGGCTGACTTGGAATCACTTAGTGTGAAGTTCACTTCGGGCACTGCAATTTTTGCTCGGCACGGTGCTTTGCGCGGCATGGCCTCAGATTTTCCTGTTTCTTCTTTGCCCAGCCGCGGATCAGGTCATCCGCAGGGTGGCGCCTCTGCTCGTTAGCAGCGTAGGTGAGAGGTGGGCGGAGACGGTGGACAGGAGGCTTGGGATCTGAAACAAGAGAATCAACTTGGTCACAACATGTTACAAACTGCATCAGACTGTGATGCAAAGTCAAATAAGGCCCTTCGCGGAAAAAAACACATAAAAACACAATCGGTATCAATTGATTGATATTGGTTGCTTACAACCTTCATCCACCTTGTCTTGATCCCCCTCTCGATCTCCCTGCCTCTCTGTGTATACTAGCCCACACATGTTAGTGACGAACCTTGAGGTCTAAGAATGTCTGAAACATCTGCGACTTCGGTGTTGAATCTTGTAGCTCGTGCAGGTTGGGCTCACATTCATTGGACTCCAAAGTGAATATGGGTTCTCCAAGCAGCACCATCGTCAACTGACGCATCAAACCCAGATTTATTGCTGGACATGCCAATACTTGGGTTTAAATAATAATAAACTGATGGTGCCATTCGAGTGAATTGCATTCGCAACAACAAAATGAAAGAGTGCGTGTTTGTGTCGTGATGATGGATCAAAGATCAGGTACTCGCCAATAACAGTACCTGACAAAGCCTGATCAATGTTGTTGATAGAACATAGCCACGTAGCATAAAGAGTCATATGATTCATATGATTACTAGAGTCGCCCAAACTTTGTGACCATGCTAATTGGCTGTGAAAGCTCCTGACTAGCAACCAAAACATATTTTCCCCAGAACTGACTCCTTTTCAAACCCTGCCATGTGCAAATGCGAATGCAAGCACCCCTGTTGAGGTCGGAGCCCACGCTGTTGGAGTAAGCCACGGGCATTCGTCAAGCGGCACTGCAACCAGCGTCTGGTCTAGGTTTTCCGGGCACGTGAAGGACGGGCGGTCCATTGGGCGCGAAGGGACGTATCGGATCTGGTGTAGGTGGAAGAAAGTGCACCTCCTGCAACCCCTGCAGAGTTCAAACCCATGCTTTCAGAGTAGGTTCCCGCACGAGGCACAAGGGCCTTTGTTCCAAGATTGATAGTCTGGTTCCATGAAAGGGAAGC